ATGCGCAGCGCTGCGTGCATGAGCATATGTTCTCTCCAGAGCTTCTTAGGAAGACTTTGCATGTGTGTATTGAATCCGCCTGTGAGTAAATCAGGCCTCTACAAGCAGATCATGTTTCCTTGCATGGGCTGTTGATTAAAGCTGCTGACTAAACAGCACACTTATTGACGTAGAGGGAAAAGAGCTTCCTGGAAACCCAATCTGATGAGGAAGGCGCCTGCTGTGGGTTTAAAAGGCCTGGAGTCCCTTTTAGATGTCTCGGCTATTATCTCTCATATAGCGGCAGGTTTAAGTGATTGAAGATTCATGGGTAGTTGATCCCTAATTATGAAAAAAGAACGATTTTTTGACTCGCTCTCATCCATTCTGACTTACTGTACATCAAAAGCTTCTTAAATGTGGAAGGATTTTTTTTAAATTTCCTTTTTGGTAATGAACTAACTATTTGTTAAACTGTGTTGAATCACAAAGGGTAATGAAACTGATTACTCCAGGCATCATCGTGTCTGCATCACCATGAGAATGAGATCTTCGTGTGTTTTTATATACAGTTGAGTTTCACTTTTGGCCGTTTACAGTCCTCACTTCACTGGTCTGCCTAACTTTCTTTGAGCACAATTAATAGAATCTTTAGTGTCGCCCCCATCGCCACAACTGCAAATGCTAAACATCAGAAAGGTAAGGACCTGATGGGTGGCCCTGTGAGAATGAATGGATGTACAATGTCTAATTTATGACTTGGTTAGTGAAATAAGTACACAACTGCATATTTGTATCTGCACATTGTCACACGTAACATCTCAATTGTACGAAAAAAAGAAAATGGCTAAATAAGTACCAATATGAATAGAAAATATATTAAAAAAGACACGTATGAATAATAAAACATATGTACTCAAACATATATATTCTAAGATCATGTCGAAGCTCCAATGCGCCAAAGAGAGGCTCTTAAGAATGTAATCAGAGATTAAAACTCTTCTCTCCGAGTAAAAGGGTATTTCCATTTTTTCCTTGACCTTGACAGTTTTGTCGGCAGGATTTCTGTTGTTTGCAGCTCTATTGTTAGAATGTCAGAATGTTCGATTCTGTACCTAAATAAAAACATTGGGGGACTAATTATACTCTAAAATGTGTATACCTGTATAGTGGAGTGTTTTGGAACATGCATCTTTCTACTGTTGTGCTCCTGCGAATGGGCTGAAATAATCACAAAACTGTTTGTGGTATTTCTTCAGTAAACATATTTACTACAATGAGTTACATACAATTACAATATAGACAATATTAACAGAATAATTGGCATCTCTACATTCATGCATTAATAAAAGGTGGATTCCTGAAATAGCTGCATCACTGACCTAACAGGTTGAACTTAGCTAACAAGCTAATTAGCGCTAACGCCACAAGTGCAGATGAACTTAACACTGCTCTGTATTAACTTATTCCACAAAACTGGACTAGTCAGGGAATCATTCCAACCATTTCATAACTTTAGACTAATATTGATACCCGTAAATGGGAAATGTTGCATATTTGAAAGTAAGTGCTGCTGTAAAAGCAATAGATGAATTCAAAAAGTAATAAGGAAGCAACCACTAAGTTGAGCCATACGGTATAAATACAACACATCACAATCTGCAGTGAGCTATTATTCTTTTAAAACTGCCAAACCACGCAAAATAAGAGATATGGACTCAATCTTATGTTTACTTATTTTTTATTTTAAATGATTTATTATAAATGATAACCGTTGAAATGAAATAGTTCATCCTGAACTGGTTGTCTGCACTTGTCGAGTTGGTTGCTAGGGAATATGCTCTGGTCATCACAGGCTGGCGCTACATTGATTTGCATACATTATTTGGCTATTCCTTTCCATGTTTTGGCATTTATTAATCCCCCACAGTCAAGCGTCACAATGACTTTAATAACTGCCTGTATTAGCTTTAGTTCCAGATTCATGTGAGCGCATATCACACTCTGTCTTTTGTCAAAGTCACAGTTTGCTAATCGCGCGCAGAGGCATTGGTTTGTACTTCTGAAGCCATGATAATCTTTACAACATGATGTTAGACCCCCATGCTGTCCGTTCCTATAGCTTCCTGATCGTCTACTGTTCAATATGGAGGAGAGATTTTTGCATTGGAAGTAAAACAAACAGGCGCGACGTACAGCGGATAACTCTGCAGAGGAATTTCTCCACGTGACAAACAGAAGGGGGTTGGTGGCAAACGGTTTGAAAAACGTTCTGGCTAAATGTGGGGAGATGGCACTTGGCCGTCAAATGAGAAAAAATCTAAAATAGACTTTTTTCTAAAGTGATTACTCGTTAATTTATAAGATTTAGTCTTTAGAAAAAAACAAACACTTTGAATCGTAATTAATCATGATTAATTCATTTTAAAATGTGAGATTAATTAGTTCATTTGTTTTGGTCTATTGACAGCCCTAGTTATTATTTATATGTAACCAGGTAGATCATTTGAGTACCTGATATTTTTTTTTTATTTAATCAGAGCAGTTTTACCTAGATATGCTTTTCAGATATGCTGATTGATGCCACTTAAAAGGTTATTTCTGGGAAATGCAGATTAACAGTTGGGGAAAGGAGAATAAAACCCACCCCCTTCCAGGACGAAGAATTGATGAACAAAGTGAGAAAATATCGGTGTGAGGGAGTGCTAGCTGTTTTACAAATTAATTCAGACCACCAAGTGCAAACTGGTAAAACTGTTTACTGTCCGGTCTGAGACTGCACTTATGCAGCGGGAGGGAGATGTAAGGAAGGATCTTGAAAGGAACCAACTGAAGGCACGATGAGACCATTCAAGGATACTTTTACCATTTCAATTGATAATATTTCAATAAAAGCATAGTCGATGTTGTGGGGGATTTTACTTCAAAATATGTTATTTTCATACGGTTCAAGATAATTGTTGAAATCAAACCATTCAGTGTCTACATTTGCTTTGTGTGTCTTCTAACCTCTACCAACAAACCTAGACCGTGGCCCAATAATAATTTGAATATCCTGCGGACACTACGGGGGTTGTATATCTGAACAACATTCAAAGCCTAACATAAAGACTCTAAAACAGACGGAGAGTGTGCAATTGTTGGGGATCGAGTCAAAATAAACTGTGAGGGGTCAGGACTTCGACTCAGGTGCAGAGCAATAAGGCAACAGAAAATTCTTTCAAGGTTTGGAATCTTTTACTAGGAGAGTAAACTAATGCAAAACAAAGGGGGCACAGGCAAAGGCGGAATCCACACGCTCTTGAAGAAACAAAAAGGAAGAGAGCCTGGCAAGTAGAAACAAGATTACAAAAACAGCACTGGGAATTTAACAACAAACATGTACCTCTAGGAAGGACAAAAGATAACCTGACACAGACAAGTGGGGGAACTGAGGCTTAAATACAGGTGGGGTGATTGCAAACTAAACTCAGCTGTGGGGGGAAACTAGATACATGAAGTGCCGTGGTTACAAAAATAAAACAGGAAGTTAATCTTTACAGTCTCTTCGAGTCGTCACATAAACTACCATGAGTGTGTTGACATTAACGATAAACTCATCATCCTCCCCTGAGATTGTTTTCCTTCATTGTCATTATTAATATTGTTTTCTACTTTTTTGTAACCGTCCATGTGTTTTTCAAGTAATAGAGATTTGGTCATTTAATTCAGTCGCAGCTAATCATCAGGACGATTTTGTATTTTTATTCTTGTTTTGAAGCTATTACAGCTGCCCTTTTTTGTTTATTTATTTCCACAAATGGTGCTTCAGCTTTGTTGTGGTTTTATCACATTGTTTAATTACCTGACTTGTATCAGGTAAAGCAAACTAAATTACCAAAGAGTTAACGATGAACATCCCTGCAGGCCTGAAGCCAATTTGAGTTAATGACTTTTGAAAATGGGATTTCTTTAAATAAAACATATAAACACACATATTACAATGCATACATCCAACTATTTCCTCGTCCACCTACACCCACACAAATCAGAGGAAAATTCCAGCTTCAGGCGGTTTTGTAGGCACAACGTTATCAGCCTGTGTGTGTTTGGTCCTTTGTGAAGAAATGCAACTTCGGTTAGCAGTATCTTGTGTTTCCTCAAACACCTCAGGAGAAACACAAGAGAGCAAATGTGAATAATCAACTGCAGGTTACAATGTGTAGGAGGACATGACGAAGCTAGTGGAGTCTTTTTTTGAGAAAAGTGACTGTCATGCCGCTTACTCACAGCGTATCTTTTTCATCTGCAGGAAACTACATCTCTCTTCTTGTTTTTTTTTTTTTTCTGTGTGATTGTTGAATGCTGGAGTAAGTGTCAACTTCTCCACCTCTCAGTGATACCTCTCAAGGCTTTCTCTTTGCTTATAAAACGTAAAAAAGAACCAGTGAATCATCCTGTACTCACCGGATAGATGTGTACACATTCATCTATCCGGTGAAAAGCTAACTGCATCAATAGCTCAGGGGTCCTACTGGCTAGCAGGCAAAAGACCGGACGCTTCCTACAGCCCATTTTGTGGTCTAAATGGCTGTACTGGATTCATCTCAGACCTTTTAGACAGCTGTATCTAGCTCACAATTTTCAGAAACCCCCCAGGGAACCTCCTGTCTCCTTTAAGCTGCGTCCACTTCAGTTTAATACAGATCTGTCCTGATTATATAGTCCAAAGGACAGTAGACTGATTGATGCCACTTGAAAGAAAGTGTGGTCCATTCACACTTCTTGGTAAAACTATAGGTACCACTGACTCTGGATCTTCGCTTCGCCCTTTCTCCTTGTCCTGATCGGAAAGTTTGAAGAGAAGCAGAGCGGGCCCAGTTTGGGGGAATGAATAGAAAGAGAGAGGGAGGGATGTGACAGCAGGAAAGAGGCTTAAGGAATACTAATGAATTAATGATGCAACATGTTGACATTTCTTTCTTTCTCCTTCACATCCCTGCCTTCACCCCCACCTCCTCCTCCTCTTCCCTCTGTCTCAGCTCTCCTGCAGGAGGGTGCCCTTGTTGGCTTGTCATTCTGTTGTAACCCTGAGGCCAGTTATGTGACCGGAATGAGAATTCAACATAATAGGAAAGACTCCGAAGGACTTCCTGCATCCCAGAGAAACTCAGGTAGGACGTATGTGATGGAATTCCAGAAGCTTGATGCTCGTATTTTGTGTGTGCATTGCATTCATAATGGTGTCATTCTGATACGAAAGCATCTGGTGAATGTTGAGGGTTTGATTGAGGCTGGGTAGACTTGGTTGTCTTGAAAGTGTGGCAGGTAACGAGCCAGCAATTACATATTTCTAATACAGTAGCTGGTAAATACGGGGGAAATGTTAGTGATTTGACATTTTTCTTTCCGTTTTTTGTAGTAATGGTTACTGAAAAATGATTATACCAGGATGCTGTACTGTTAACAACAATAAGCTGTTTGCAACCATCCATGAAATCTTGCATGTTGCATACTTTCAAGTGGGGGAGTTTGTAAAAATATTATCCACTTTGGTCACATAGGTCCCCCCTTAAGAGGACGCTGCAATTCTGGTTATAACCAGGTACCAAGACCAATTTCTGCAGTTTCCAATTTGCAGTATCTAGTCTACAGTGGTTGCAAAAAGAAGTCAAGTTGTATAGAATTTCTATTATTAGAAAATTACCCTACTTCTCTATCGATTTATTCCCTCAGTAAACATATTTTTGAGTCTTTGGTTTCAATCTCTAGTTTCAACTTGTTTTCAATACAGCATGATGTTAATTTAGTAAATGATTCCATTTGAAGTTAATTAGATCATGTTTTAGGGAACGGTTACTGCATTGACAGGTTGCTCCAGGGGCGTATGTGTCGTTTCTACGCCACTCTCCTGCAGGATGTAAGTATGTTAACTGGTATCTTCTATTGATTGGTTGGAAAAAAAGAGATGGCGACGGCAAAATTGCTTCAAAAAGACACAAAGCAATGGGCGACTCCAAGATGATTACGTCCTCTTCCTACGTCCAGTCTAAACGTAGAACCGAGTTGAGGATTACTGCATCCACTGTGCACACAGCGGGGTATGAGGGTATTATCCGCAAGGGTTGCAATGGGCAGGACCAACCCTACTGACTCATCCACAGCTTATAGAACTGGGTTTTACTCTTGCTGAAAAGTCCTTGTAAAGAATCTGATCTTGTTCAGTACTACAGAAGCGTGCCGAAATAACAGCTGAAAGAGGAAAATCTGGGGTGAAACTGAGACTTTTTCCTCCTTTTGGGTTTTTTAATGCTGCATAGTTTGCATTATGTTATTGTTTCAAGAATACTAGTAGGCTATTGACTTTTCCTATGTTTTAAAGTTATGTTTTTAGCTGATGAAAACACATCTTGTCAGGGATGCGGGGAGCAGGCAGGACTCAAATGCAGAGTTCGATTAACAAAAGAAGACTTTAATAATCAAAAAGCAAAAGGCCAACGGGCAAAAACACACACAGGAACTGGGGGCAAAAAGGCAGGCAGGAACGAGAGGCAGGCAGGACGATTGACAATGACGCGACAAGTGACAGGAGACACACACACAGTTGAAATACACTAGGGAGGTGCAGGTGATTGGACACAGGTGGAAACAATCAGACAATCACAGACGATGACAGGACAAGGCAGGAAGTGAAGTTACCCAGGGAGACAAGAAGCAGAAACTACAAAATAATACAGGAAATAAACCACACCGTGACACATCTGTAAATTCAACTTTGAGTCAACGCCAATATCTGGCCAATAGCGAGAACCATTTTGTTATTTATAAAAACCTGACCAACACATATTTTGGATGTCTATCTGTAAAGATTAAAGGAACTTGTGGAGTGAGCCTTATTTTAAAATGGCATAACTCGGCATCTGTAAATTACAGCAACTGTGCCCTCCAACACTTTATGACTTGAACATAATGAAATTGGAGAAAAAAAACAAAAAACTTAAAGCAATCCCCTTTAAAACATCCCAAATCAAAATAAGTATGTTTGCTTATTTGTTTAAGTAACAAACGTAAATGAAAATACATCAATTTTGACTGCTGGTTTCATGCTGTAAACACTATTGTGTTGTTGCATCACAGGAAATGTAGTTTTTTCTTGCATCCTTAGTAGACAGAGCGTCTTTTGCATCCTCCAACTTTGTAACAAAACATGTGATACATGGCAGGCGGGCTCTTTTAATAATGTAGCGACTAACTCCATATTCAGTGAGTGTGACCCCAGAGGGGGACGGCTCTGGACTTGTGTCCCTCTCAATGCGGTCTGTCCGGTCCGTCCCACAGTGCAAAGCTCCTGATGTGCTTAGTATTCAGGTGCTGAGAGGGGGGGGCGCTGAGTCAACATGTGTGGCTCGATCATGATTGCACATCTGGTTGACGGAAAAGCAAAACACACACACACACACACACACACACACACACATACTGTCCTCCCATATAGAAATATACAGACGTGCACACATACACGCACACACAGACACACACACACACACACACACACACACACACACACAAACCAACACTGCCGCTGCAAATCTAATTGTGTGCCATTTCTTCTGAAATCCGTTCCTTCCGATCTGTAATCTCCATCTGATTGAAGCAGAACCGGCTAGATGAAGGGGTTCAGCTCTCAGCCAATCACTGAGGGAGTGTGTGTGATTGGATCCATTTCAATTTTCTACAGAATTTGTCACGCATATTTATGCACACAGGAAGCGTGCTCATACACTCTCAGTTGCAGCGAACTTCTGCTAAAGTGGCATGCTAAAGACCACTTGATATTAATACTGCAGGAGATTAAAAAAAAGCAGCAGCAGTATGGAAGCCCAACATCCGCCAACCATCTCAGCAGGTAACATGTATGAGTGGAAGAGGAGGCAATACATTTGTGAAAAAAATGTCATCCATTGGTTTGGGGCTGAAATTTATTAAATCAGAGGTCACTGACTGGCGGTCCGTATCCGCACCCAGAAGCCGTCCCATCCAGACCCGGACCGAAAGCCCAAACAGACGGTAGTGATTCAAAACCTGATGGGGCACTTTTCAATCTACGCAGCTTTGCTAGTTATTACCATAGTGGCTGAAAGCACAGGCCAGTGGCATTCAAGTTAAGCCATCCCACGTGATACCACTCGACCAATTGAGTCTTTGCATTGCAAGCAGGATAATGTCGTCTCACAGTGCAAACAGTTTGGAGGGCTAGCGGCAAATTCCAAACAAAAAGACCGACCCGTGAGACGGAGAAAGCAAGAGACGGGTGAAAAAAATAAGGAACAAATGGCGGTCTTCAGACATTGAGAAAATTGGAAAGCAAAACTAGAGCATTTAATCCAGAATTGACGGGCTCGTTTCCGTTCATACTTCCCACTGGGGCACTAAAGCCTTGTGTCATATGCTTAGAAACTGTTCAAATCCCAGCAGGACAAGCCAGAGCTCAATTCTCCCACTGAGCGAAAAAGTGGGGGAGTGGGATATATACACTATACAACTGTTCAAATGTGTTTTAGATGTATTATTTATAATTGGCTGAGACTGTCAAGTCCAAATGTGAAACAGAAAAGGGGAAATTCAAGCTTTTCTTCCATGTATTTATTTTTTCTGAATTGAAGCACTATTTGAAGATGCACAATTTAATTTAATTATTTTTTTTAAAATGCAGCCTTACTTTTATTTGCAGTCATACATATATGTATGCAGTTCTTTGTTACGCGACAATACATTTTGTACAGTTTTCTAATCATACTGACCTTTCATTTGTCAGTCGAGTATTGATTACATGCATGTTGATACAATGTTCCGGACCTTTGCTTCTAGAATTTTTTGCTGATTGGGCCTCTTTACATTTTAAACAGCTCCAATATGGAGCAATTTGAATTGACTTTTAGAACTAAGATGTCATAAACATAACAAGTAGTATCATTTGGAGATTGTTCTAGTGGGGAAGCATGTCTGCCCAGTTCCATTGAATACAGTGAATTTGATATCCTTAACTACAGACCCCTTTTCCGTCTGTTTTCCTTGGATTAGACACCCCACTTCTCTGTTCTCCATATGCCTTTCAATATGAGTCATTAAGTTTATGGATATGACTTGGATTGAGATAATCATTTCAAACGGAGCATGATATTTTTGCATCAAGCAATTGATTTTTTTTTTTGTGTAAAGATATTTCACTCAAAATGTTCGCACTCTTTTAAAAAGTGTTAATTGCCGTAAATTTAATGGTAATGCAAACATGGTTCCTTTTTCATTTGGAACCATTTCTTCTTTATTTCAGCGAGTGCGACCTCCAGTTGACACAGCATCACCGGCACTCGGCATCCCCCCCCCCCCCATTGTGTGACTCTAGCCGGTTCCTGTAAGTCTGTAGATGATGCTCTAAACGAATGAGCGTCGCCTCTATGGGTCCATGAAACGCATGGGGCAGGATGTAGCCTCGTATGCGATTACTGCAGTGAGCATTATGCTAGTTTACATTCTCCAGATTTCAACAGTTGGAAGTTGGATTCAGGAGTCGATAAGAGATGAGATCAAGAAGACACATTGATGGAGGAAGGCTGCTGCTATGTACTCATGATAAGACACCAAAATGTTGTTGCCTGAGATCCATTGTTTCTATAAACTCAATTTCACCTAATCTTACAGTAATATGTTGATATTGTGGGACACCTTTGATTGTAAATGATAAAGGGTCCTTTCAAACTTAAAAACGCATACAGAAATACGTTTAACTTCTAAAAAATAAAGTTTAGCCCATCTGACTCCAAGCTATCCATAGTGCAGTTGACACAATGCAGAAACCAACAGTGTCCATCAGGCTGTTACCCGCCGTCTCTGGATGAAATACATTGTGTTTCCAAGCTTTCTGATTTCCCATCATTTTGGGAATCTAAGCAGAGAGCTCTCACCATGGAGGCCCCTGTGGAAGCCTGATGAATTGTGTCTACACTGGTGGACGCGGTGCTTTACGCTTCATTCACTCTCTGAGGAGCAGAACTCTCCCGCTGTCTCTTTACGGTGATTCACATCCCTGCCGCTGCTTACAGTCACCGTCATTTATCAAGTAGGCAGTTGATATTTAATCTTTATCTGCACCACAGACAGGTTAGAACAAGAAACA